AGCTTTTGTTTCGTCATCAAGTTGTTTGAAACTTCCGGTCCGCATCACATCCGTCATGTTTTTTAAATAGAACTTGAAGCAATATTCCTCCAATTCCTAAAGAATAAACGTCATATATATAAATAAATAAATAAACATGTAATATAAAGACATATTTCTTACTACTTATAAATTCTGACTAGAAGTTATATTAGATGCTGGATAGTTTTAAAGTAGAATATACACTTGACTATGAAGTGAAAAACTCGGGGATTTGATTATCTTGTTACCTCGCGTATAATATAAAGAATTTTAAGGAGAAAAATATTGTACAGAGACAGACACAATAATGAAAATCAAATCCCATTACAATTATATTAATATTATAAATTCTGCAATACTTTTGTCTTATAAGGAAATATATATAATATGAAATGTCTCTCTCCGACTTTTATGAGCTTTTAATATATCGTTTTATAGACCAAAATAAGAAACATGTATTTTTTTATTTGTGTTCGATATTACACTTTTAAGAAAAGAAACACTCCTTTGAAGAAAATCAATTGTTATCTTACGAAGTCGAAACTATGAGAGACAGGAAAACATGTTTCTAGTAAAAGTTTAAACTTTATATTAATAATTATATTATATACTTTATATTAATAATTATAAAAAATTTGTTTAAATAAACAACTTTTATTTATAAAAACAAAATAAAAAAATTTTTCTAAATCATAATTATTAAATATTCTTGAAACTATTTAACTTTTATTTGAAATTCCTTTATTTTCTCTTTTTTTCTATCTCTTGTATTTTCAACAATACTCGATTCAAAACACAATATTATTTTTTCAAACGAGTCATTTCATTCCCTAAAAGTACTATTGGACACATATATACGTATAAAGAAGTATGTATCCTATATTTTTATTCACAAAAAATATTAAAAGTTTATCAATATCAGAGGAGCACTTCCATGTGTTTCCTTATTAGAAAACAAAAAAATGTTCACAACAGAAAAGAGAAAAACGATACTGCCAGTTACCTTCTTATGATGTTCTATTGTCATTTTGTCAATAAGATTAATGAGATATACGATATTTGATGCAGTAATTGCCTTTTTTATTGTTCGTATACAATCCGTCTCGAGATTTTTTTCGCAGACTTCATCAGTTAGTTGCAAAAGTTCTGCAACAAAGAAATATTTTTATCGCTAATTGTAGATATAATGATAATACGCGATTTATTTAACTCGAACTCACCTAACAAGTCATCTATAGATGATAAATCGATTCTGTTAGTATATAAATATTTTAAAAAGGTTTTGTACACGATATAGGAATAATAATGATGTCTAATGATACTGTAAAGGAAAATTCGCCGAAATATTACAAGCGGGTCGAATGCATGAAGGCGTTTTAATAAAATATACATTTTTTTTTTGTAAAAACATACCTTTGCTTGCTTTCAATGTAATCAGTTTGAAACATGTTTCTAAAATATGTACAACGCATCTTCAGGATAGTCTTGTGAACGTAAATTGATTGCTCCTCGACTTCTATCGCAAGATCACTCGTTAACTTTAGAGACAAAAAACAAAAATTATTAAAGTCGAATTTGTATCATATTATATTATACATATTATTGAATCTTTCTTTTTGTTACGCAATAAAAGTATATATAATGTAATAATAAAAATAAAGACACTTAAGGTAATAAATTAGCAAACCAGACAAATTGTTACATTGAAAAACATGCTAAGAATTTATCAAAAAGTCAAAATAGAAATGACAGTCAGTAATCGATTCTGATGCAAGAAATTTTAACTAATGATTTTCTTACAGATTTTAAAGCGCCGTCAATGGCAAAAGTTTAAAAGTTTATTGGCATTTTTTAAGGATTCAAAAATAAATTGTGGTACTACAATTCTCAATTGGAAATATTGAATTACGTGGACAAACACGTAGAAAAAAGAATGAGACTAACGCGATCGTTGAATGCAGTTTCCAAATCATTTAATATGTCAAGTTCATCATTCGTGAATTCATGGGTCACGGATATTGGCGAGTATGCCGTCATCGAGTCACATACGTTAAATACGTTTGTATATTCACAGACGAGAGGTTTTTTAATGAATGTCTTTGCAAAATAACCCAATATGTAGACAAGTCCATCTTCGCTACACTTGACAAAGCTTTTGGTTTTCAAGGCGGCGATATCCGATACTTTTTTGACATTAGCTATATTCACCTGCCAATCGCAAAATTCTCTGGGTTATTTAAGCTTTTCTGTTTGCTGTTTACCATAATACAATTATACAGTAGCAAATCATTTTACCATGATAGGAGACGAATAGTTTTTTCTCTTATTTAGATTCAATTGTCTATCTATAGTGTTCGAACCCCAGCCGTAAACTTTCCCTTTATCGGTTAGAGCAAGTATATAATCACTTCCAGTGGCTACCTTGACTAAATTTAAGATTAGATGGATTAGGTTATTCTACAATGCTGCAGCCATAAATTCTTGATATATCAATATATCTTTAGAAATGTATTTTGAAAATAATTACCAATCTTTTTGTCTGAAAGTGCGGTTACTTCACGTGGCTCTTTTGTGAAATATAATAAGTTGTCCCAATTTAATCCCCAAGTGTATATTTTACCAATATTGGTAACTACTACGTAAAAATCCCTTCCACAACCCATGCTTGTAATCTTCTCTTGCATATCTATTTGATGTATTCTCTTACGTTTGTCGCAAATGATTTTGTAATATAGCTAAGATTAAATAATCATAATATATTTAAGTAAAATCCGTAAGATTAATTATTACCTTATTATTGTATTTACTATAAAATTGGAGTTATCTTTTTACCTTGCCATCATCAGTTAAACTGAGAAAATTAAACGTGTTATATATGGTTTTTACAATCCTTGTGTTGCTCAAATCCATCTTACTCGGAGTATATTCTATACAGCTGGTGAAAATTTTTCTTATAATTTTGTACGAATTGGAATATCTTTCAGTAATACTCAGAAATATTCGGATGGAAAGTTTCCATCTTCTTTCAGAAATTTTCATGTATGTGGATTTTGAAATATTCTGATTTCTCATCCCATAATTTAAAAAAAATGTTTTTATAATAAATTTTTTAAATTTTATGACATTTCATCAGAAATTATATAATAATTACGATAAATCTTAGAAATCTTACGATATTTCATAATTAACATATATGGAAAATTCTGAGAAAGGCTATAGATTTTCTGAGAAGTGTTCCAATTCGTATAAAAATTGTGAAAAAGTTATATATAAAATTATATATAAATTTTGAAAAATTATATAGAAATTCTGAAAAACTACATAAATTCTGAAAAAAAATTCACCTATATATGGTGTAATGATGTGATATTTTACATATGTGTACGTTAGATTCATCATCAGATTCATCTTCATCAGAGTGCTTTAGTGCAGGTATTTCATTCCATATATGTTGCTTGTAAAAAATAACATTATTATAGATTTTATTCGATTATATTAATGATACTTAGGGTGGTGCAGTTAAGATGAAAACCTTAAGTATTTCGCTTCACTTAATTTTGATGATTCAAAAAATATTTTACAAAAATGAAATAGTTTAAAGTGAGATGTATTTTTATCACGTATTTTTCTAGAACGAGACGCCAAAAAAGATATAAAGGACACTTCTATTTTTTAAAATGGATTTATATGATTTTTTTTATATAATATGGGTTTTCAAATTATTCTGCATATTAAACTTTTATGAACAGAATAATGAGTGAAATTATTTGATGTAAAGAAAACACTGAATTTCTGAACATCAAAGAAATATTATAAACAAAGTATCATTATAATAATTTTATATGGAATATCAAATTTTTACCATGATACACAATATCAAATTTTTTTATCATGATAAATAATATAAAAATAACATAATAAATTCTTAAAATACCTCTCCGTCTTCTGTAATCATATAAACCGAATGTATATGATCGACAACCAGTAACTTTATTTTTTTCTGGAACATATAATTCACTTTTGTTGGTTGGTGTTTACGTATACAGCCACTTTCTCCCTCAAACCTGGTACATGATTTCAGTGCAAGCCTTGAATAAAAATAGTTATTGAAAATACATATATTGTCGTAAATTCAATCAAATAATTAACTAAGAAAATAACTTCTCTATTTCGTTTCACGCGAAAAGCAATAGATGATGATTTTCGGAATTTTATTATGCAAATCGACCTAAAACAAATTTGCACAACAACAATGGCTGTAACACACGGAGAAACGTAAGGAATAACTAACAGAAATCAAAAATTTTTTTGGTAGTATCTTTATATTTTTTAAATGTTCCGACTGTGCTTCGGTTACTCAAATTTCGGTGCTCAAATTTTATTGCTTATATTCTTTGTGTACCGCGGCCCTAATATCAAGCCGTAGAATACACTTTTCGTAATAAATTTAGAAATAATTGCCCCGATCCTGTGTTGCTTTAAAAGGAAAGAAACTTTCTTTTCTTGCTAATACAAAATTAAAAGAATACAGAAAAGGAAGACAATTTTCTTTGTTATCCTTATTTACATTCGTGAATAATAGCGATAAATTCAAACAACAAACTGACATTTTTTGTCGCCATTTTGAGGTAAAAATGGGGCGAATAATGTCAGTTTGTTTCTTAGGAAATGATACATTGTAGCATTAGAATGGTATTTCCGTAATCTAATAAAGATTCTAAAGACTCTATTTTCTTATTATGAAGAAACTTACGGAAGATGAAAAAGAAGAAATTACTTAATTTGTCGTTGTAATGATAGAAATATATCATAAAAGCACAAAACATAAAAGGATCCTATACAATCCGCGGCTTTTACATTTCCATCTTAAAGATGCTTTAATTCGAATCTTAATTGTTATTAAGATTATATCCCGCCAAAGAAATTGTCTTATGACATTTTGAAATCGTTTTTAAAATAATCTTGGGTATAAAATGTGTATATAATAGAAATACGAAATAAATACGTTGTTTCAATACAATTTTGTAAGATACAAACGTATTGAACGCGAATAATTTAATTTTGATTAATTAATGTCCGCCCATTATTGTTTCGCAATTACTCGTCGATATATATTTTTAAAAAATGTAAAGAAAAAGAAATGTAAAGAAAAGAAAATCTACCATTGTGTAAAGTCTTTTAAGCTTTTGTTCTCTTGTCTTTTGCCTCATTATCTTTTTCTAAAAGCTTTTTTCCAATTTTGAACGAAAGAGACATGATAATGATTGACACACGCGTTATTAAATACAATATGTACAAATATGTATTAAATAATAATTGTATTAAATAATAATACACAATAGATGTGTACTGATTGAAAACGGAAGAACGCTTTTTGTTGCCATTTTGAGGTCAAAATGGCGACGAATAAAGTCAGCTTATTTCTCGAGAAATAAACATGGGAGCACTACAACGATATATTCGATCCAATAAAAAGCCTGGAGCGCTATTTCATTTTTCAAACTACAAAGAAACTAACAGAAGTCTATACAACACGTGGTCGCGCGTGTCCTTCGAACATCTGATTTATGTTTTCATTGTCCTATTTTTGTATTTTGGACATCTTCGAAATGTCACTTTGCAATTACTCGTCGATATATATATTTAAAAAAACAGAAGGAGAAAAAAATTTTGAACTCACTGATATTTGAAGTCATTTAAGCTTTTATTTTCTTGGTTATCATCATCGTCCGTTAAAAACTCTTCATTGAATCTGCGCGAAATAGACATGATGATCGATACGTGTTAATAACACTAAATATGCACAGTATGTTGAAATATGTATTGAATAATATCGTATAATTGTATAACACAACAAATGCGTACTGATGATTTAAAACGGAAGAACGATTAGCTTTTTCTTTCAGAGTTGATATAAGTGTGCCTGCGTGGTTTTGAGTCAAGTACATATATTATCTACTTGGGGCTTGTGTTCATGATGCTAGAACCGTGTTATTGATGCGAGTCCTCGAATAAAGACTTTCTCACTTCGATGAATCTTAATTTCAATGGCTGCGTTCACAGCAGAGAAAACCAATCAAGTTAGCGCTTAGTGATTGTTTAATATGATTGGTTCTTACCGTCAGTTCTTCACCGGATCTAACAATAAGTGTGGGAACTAATTATATTAAAGAATCACTAAGCGCTTACTGAGTTAGCTAACTTAGTTTTCTCTGCTCAATGCAGCCAATGTATAACACATGCGAAAATGACGCTTCCACGACTTATACCAAGTTTTAAATATTAAACCAATGCTATAAGGGTGATTGTAATTAATTGTCACTAATATTATCTATTCAACACAGGATGCGCTCATAACAAAATTCCACAACGCATTGCTTCACATTTATATGTATATATACATGTCAAATAATATTACTAATATTATTACAAATATTAATATTACTATACAGGGTGTCCCATTTTAAATAATGCATTAAGATTTCTCGAAAAACTATGGTAGATACGGGAAAATGTTTTATAGAAAAGCTGTATGATTCGGAGGGGAACGTTAGAAGGTATCATTGATTTGACCTTGGGTGGCGTCGCCAAGGCCAGATCTAGGTCACGTCGATTTTTTTAAATGGAACGCGCTATTTTTCATTACATTTTCTTGTAGCTTACCTCGAGAGCTTTCCAAAACACTATAATAAAGTATTTTTTCATGAAGTACTTTTCGAGTTATAAGGCTTGAAAGTTACAATATCGCCGGCATTAACATTATCCAAGGTGTCGGACCGACGGCTAAAACCTCTTGAATGTTATTCAGGATTATGTTCTGGATAACATTTGTCAAGATCAAGGTCATTGGAGGTTGTTCCTCTTATTTTCATTTTTGCACTAAAAATTTATTTTTACGTAAAAATGAAGATAAGAAGTACAATCTCCGGTTAAACTTCGGAAAAGCTACAAGAATATGCAATAAAAAATGGGGGGTTCCATTTAAAAAATTCATGTTGACCTTGACCTGACCTTGGTGGTGCCCTCTATCCAAAATCCGTTACTTCCATCTTCTTTCCCCCAAGAAAATCTACAACTTTTATATAAAACTTTTTCTTGTATCTCTCTTAGTTTCTGAGTTATTCGCCTGAGGCGATTAAAATGCCCCACCTTGTACACACACAACACGCACGCACGCACGCACGCATACACGCACACACGCACGCACACAAACACTTAAAAGTTTGGCTAAAAGTTTGGAAACACTCTAAAAATTGCCATTTTTTAAATTTCTTTTAAATATATCCATAATAGTGTATTTCTTTTTTACAGTAATTTTTCAGGTGTAACCCCGGATCTATAATAGGGTTTTAAGCCTTAAGCTATAAGAAATGGACGAATCATAGTCGAATCCGAGGAGAATAATCGACTGTGATTCGCTCATTTCTTATAGCTTAAGGCTTAAAACCCTATTGTAGATCCGGGGTAATTGGTCAATTTCTTACAACTTAAGGCTTAAAACATCTATTGTAGATCCGGGGTTAGGTTACGTTCAGAAACATCACCGGATGCCCTCAAATATCATTTTATCCTTGTTTAACATTGGGTGAACAACAAGAATAAAACTATGGTGGAATTAATTAGGTGAAGCGTTGCGCATAATGGCGGTAGCAATACTAGAAATAACCAATCAAATGTGTCCCAATATGCACTTTCTGACGTATAATAACGCTGATTATACTGGAATAACCAATCAAATGTTACCCAAATTCATTCTCCTACTGAGCATCCACGGGAGCACTTCACCTTGGCTGCTTTCCTTTTAAGAGACACAGTCGATACAAGTTGACACAAGTGTCATTCTTTCTTTGTCACTCTCTGAATGTCAAGAAGGATAGAACGATGCTAGTGTTGATTTGTATCGATTTGTGTTATCAAATGGAAAGCAGTGCTTATTAGGTGTAAAGACTTTTTAATCAGAGACTGGCCATAAGGCCTAACTAGAATCTCTTTTTCTCGTGTCGCGACTCTGATTAGAGGGTCTCTACGACCTCTGTTACGCGGCACGCTTAATCGGATTTAATAACATCCGTAGTTATGAAATTGGCCAATCATAGCTGTTCCTCGGAAGAATGGAACGATTGTGATTGGCTAGTTTCATAACTACGAATGTTATTAAATCCGATTAAGGGTGCTGTGTAAATGTAGTCAATGGCTGCGTTCAGCAGAACGTTTGTTTTGCAACTGTTGGAAGTTTCCTTCGCGCTAATTGGATCATACTTTTAGATCTAGAAGAATGGTCCTATCTCAGCAGACAATCATAAAACGGTTGCAAAACTGTTGAGTCTGCTGAACGCAGCCAATGCTTTGAAGCGTTTGATGGACTGTAAGAAATACATAATGTTGGATTCACACTGCATTCGATTTTCGTC